TATGGCTTAAAAGTTACCCTTTGCCTAGATATTTGCCCACGAGTGAAAAACAAAACAGTTTCAAACAGTACACTATTTACATTATTCAGACTATTGTCCTCATCTTTCTCGCCATATTTATTACAACGTTTCGGCTGTTGTACGTTCAGGTGTTTGGAATGTCGAACTGAACACTTTATTTCGCTCACCAGGGTAGATTGTTCTTGTTCCACGTGCCATTGTAATGGATTTCAGTTATCAGTTATCTCCTGTTAATTCCCCTCTCCAAGTTCTCCATCGCCTTAATCAGATACTGAAGACACATGGCACAGTGGATAAAGGCGTTAGTTAGTTCCAGTGACAAAACGCAAAGAGTGTCAGTGAATCCAAACACGGACACTTTGATGTGGTGTAATGTCTATCAAGCTTGTCTCTCTAGATCAGCTACAACTGAGTAGTGAGTTCGGTCTTCACTAGGTGCTCTATACTTTCGACCTTAGGCAACCTCTAAGCCACGCTTAGTTAATCGCTTGAGAAGGAAAACGCAGACACTTTGACGTGGTGATGCTTATCAAGCTTCTTTCTCTAGATCAGCTACAATTGGGTAGAGAGTTCGATCCTCACTGAGTGCTTCATACTTTCGGCCCTGGGTCACATTTAGCTACGCTTTATAAAATGCTAGAGAACCCTAATCCGTTCCCTTCTCTTATTTTGCTTTATTGTCAGTCAAGCATTTCTCACTTTATTTACTTATGATAGTAATTAAATGAAACGTTTGTTTTCACAGGAAATGGGTGTGCTTTTGTGAATAGCGGGGCTCTCACACTAGGGCGAACCTGATTCTGGTGTCGAATGGACGTGACTGTGGGTGTCAGCATCCGTGGGAGTCAACATTTACTTTCCTCTTGGATCTAGGACAGGACGCCCTAATTCTTTTTTGTAAACTAAAAAAACATATGTATATTAACATTTATTAAACGTACCAAGATTCATTATTGGTGGTCCAAATCTTAACAAAGATCTTATGATATGTACATGATACAGTTATTGATAGCAGACACGGTAAGGAAATTAGGCAATCGAGAAAAGAAACCTGTTATAAACTCACTGCTAGAATTCATCTTGTAATCTCACTGAAATAATGTTGGTAATGTCTTGGAAAAGACCGCTAATTTATTCTTTGTGTCGACCAAAAGAGAAATTTCATTTTTAAAACATGAAATGGCATTACGTCAAACGGTACGAAGATGTGGCAGTTATAAAGTTAACCGCAAGGGGATGAAGCTCTGCCTTACCGTATTTTTCTGCGCCCTCAGAGCCGCCAGTAATCACTAGAACCAAACTTGTGAGGTGTTATACATTTTATCAGCAAATAGTGACTTTACCTCTTTTACAACTCCTTGCGAACAATGATAAAGTGAAGTATATTACAATCGGTCTCGTCGTTATGGTATAGACGGAAGAAGTAATTCCTGTAGACTATAGCGGCTGAACAGGCAAGAGAGAACCAAGGAGAAGTACCCCTGAGAGATCCGAAGTACCCTGTCAGTTGTCCTTAACAAATCTTGTATAAAAGAGGGATTGCTGCCCAAATACACAATTATAAAATTACTTTATATATATGAATAACATATTTTCCGGCTAACAACATTCTGCGGCTTAGAAGACGCACCCTAATATTGGAAAGAAATTTCAAAGAAAAAATGTCATTCTCATACGACACATTCACCATGCGTCGCTGACATACTGATGCCACGTACTGTTTACATTAATCATTCGTCCAATTTTGTTTGTATGGCAAAGAGCAGAAAGGCTCTCATCGCTGCTAGTAAACTGAACATGTTTAAGTTTGTGGCTTGGCTCGAGGAAGGTTTATAGTCTTGAAAATACTAATAACAGCTAAGTCCTGAAGTTACATCATATAAAAGGATGAATTAGATAGATAGCTTACATTACAGTGTAATGACTCAACATTCAAATCCATGTCCCTATCAGTCAAGCCAATTAGGTGACAGTCCAAGCTTACTGGAGCCTGGGCGTTTCCTTACATTGGAAGAAGCCCACATATTTTTCAGGATATTTTTTTAGAAAAAGTGCGTCGTGTAAGCCGGAAAATCATTGTCCGACATTTCTAACTTCCGACCATATTTTTTTACCCCGTTTGTCCGAATAATCGAGAAAGTACAGGATATCTCGCCAAAAATGACAGGATTTTGTAGTCTAATAACATACCCAATTCTTGCTCAAAATGTATAAAAAAAAACTAATTAAATTGACCGTGCGGATTTATCTCAATGCGAATCTACAAGGAAGATGGATCGGACGTCGCAATAATAAAGTCGCTGTCGAATTAGTCACCACGTTCACCCCACTTGACACCTTGTGATTTTTTTTTTCTATGGGGCTATGCGAAATGACAACCTTTCTCCAAGCTTAGAGAAACTTAAGCAGGGAATCACTAAAGCGCTGGAAAATGTTACGCAAGACATACTACAACGTGTTTGGCAGGTGCTGAACTAACCGATTTTACGTATGTCGTGTCACAAGTGGTGCGCATATAAAAAATTAGTGAAGCTTTTTGACATCCCTTTTAATATCTTGTTCGAATTATTATGAATAAATCTTTTATTGTCCAACATGAAACCAATTTAATTTCATTTTCCCTTGACCTGTAGTTATTCCGATATTCTCATTTTAAATGATCTCAATTTGGTGGGAAACCCTCTATTATGTCCATATAATATTAATCAAGATTGTAACAATATTGTTCTCTAGTTTTCTTTTTTAAAAAATTCAGTATTAACTTGTGATCTACAAAACAAATTTATACTTCATTCGTAGGCAAATTATATTCGTTAATTGTAAGCCAATCAAATTCGTCATTTTTAGGCCAATCAAATTGTTATACCTTCTTTTAAAGCAACGATTGGGGAGACGTATAAAAAGTAGAAAATAAATCAGAAAGATTATTTAATATAAAACGAATTGGCTGAGGTAAGGCATTGGCTTGTTAATCTTAGCTCATTCAAAATGAAAATGTTCGCTTTTAACTATTTTATAGATCTTATTTTGCCTTCATTTAGCATGACGGATGCTGACTTCCAAGAGAACAAGCCATTTCGTTTTTCTGGTTAATGTTTTCCACTGTTTTCATTTGGAATCCTTTTTTTTTAATCAATAGTTAGGTATTTTGCTAGAAAGCTTATATATATATATATATATATATATATATATATATATATATATATATATTATCATTATTATTATTATTGTTATTATTATTATTATTATTTTAATAACTACGCTCACACTTGGGCGGTGTGAAAGTAAAACGGATAATAAAATATGTAAAGGAAAATATATTTGTACATACCAATATCAGGGGAAAAAAATCAGTAAAAGACAGAAAAGTCTAAAACATCCGTGTTAATAGAAAATAATCAATCAGCACCGCAATGCCTTGTGAAAAGAAAAAAAAACACCAACAGTTGCTCAATAAACTAAGTAGAGCAAAATATAATATATATATATATATATATATATATATATATATATATATATATATATATATATATATATATATAGTAATTTTTTTGTTTAAAAATATGATTCCTTCGCTACATAAGAGTTCTCATGTTTCAAAAACGAGAGCCGAAATCATCCAAATAATTATTAAAATTAAGTTGAATTGAGGTGTTTAATCTCGTTTCATCTTCAAGCGAAATTTTAGGAATATGCTATCTTTTGGTTTACGTGTGTTTTTAGGCATGGTCCTTCATAACATTCGTTTTTGTGGGAGTGGCTAGGCTAGTTTTCTTCGTTAAGTGGTCAATGATTTAATTCTTATCAATTGATTCATCATCTTCTGAGAGGTTTTGCTAAGGTTGAGTAGGGTATCTATTTCAAGGCGAATGTTTGCGGTCATCCTTCAGTTGGTTCCCAGTGAGGGATATTTTTATGGCGCGCCTACAAGTCGTTATGCGTCGGGAGGATTGTATTTTATTATTGTATATCTGATTATCTATTTATTTATCTGTTTATTCAAGTGGGTGTTTTATATACAAACCGTATTGCACTGAATTTCAATTTGTTTTTTGGTTTTTTGTTTTTTGACGACTACAGAAAGGGTTTTTCCTATTTAATGATTTGGCTAAGCTTTTAAGACTTTTAATAAGCTATGGAATTTTTTTATGCTAATTATTTTATGCGAAAGTTTGTTGATGTCGGCAAAAACTGATATATATATATATATATATATATATATATATATATATATATATATATATATATTTTTTTATATGTGTATGTGTATATATTTTCTGTGTGTGTGTATTAAAATAGGATTGTTTAAATAATTTAAACATACCATGTCTATTAGATTCCGCTACGCACCTTTCGTGTTCACGGTGTAATTTTTTTTTATTGTACTTGAAAATTGATTAAGAAAAATACCAAAATTTTCTTTCAAATAGTTTTTATTTTCGCGAGTACTTTCAATCTCATCTGAGATCACCTGCATGGGGTTACGTTGTGTGGGATTTTGTATGCGTGTTTTTATAAATTCAACACCTTTCAACTGTTCAAATTTACTGAATATGCGCGCACGCACACACACACGCACACATTCATATATATAAATATATATAGGTATAAATGTGGATATAAACCAAATAACTAGATATTAGAAACCGTATATACGTATGTTAGCGTGCACACACAGGTAAGCGAATAAATATTTATTCAATTGAATATAAGGTGTAAACAAAACAGCGCTCAATGTGATTAAACAGAACTTGACAGAACCACGAAATATTAATTTGCACTTCGAAAGTAGGTATATGCTTATTTATTAATATATATATATATATATATATGTGTGTGTGTGTGTGTGTGTGTGTATCGATATCTATATATTTATCCCTATTTGTTTATCTATCCATCCATCTATCTATCAACCTACCCACCTACATAGAGAGTTAGCTGACTGTCTCGTTCTGTTCTACCCATCTATCTATCTTGAGCGAGCTGTCTTTGCTAGTATCTATCTATCTATCCATCTATCTATAGACGCATCACTGTGTCTGTCTGTCTATATCAAACCATTCATATTTCTGCATATATCGTATGTGCATCTATCTATCTATCTATCTATCTATCTATCTATCTATCTATCTCTCTACCTTTTTTAGCACATTTTGATGTTTATACATTCTATTTATAGATATTCTGTTTATAATAAACAGTATAAACAACATTTACTGGCTTGAATCTCCGAGAAATTTTCAGAGAAAATATTCGTCCTCCGATAGGATTCGAACCTGTATCATATACAGAACCGTCATTTAGTTTGACGTGCCTTTACTGATTTGGTCACAGAGGAGCGTTCGGTTAGAAAGGTCGAATTTACTGTATGTTCAGTGTTACCCACATTATTCTTAAAATATTCAGTTTCGAGCAGGATATTTTCATATGAGTCAAGTACTGGACTCCAATCTTGCTCATAAACATTTTCTTAAGTGGAAAGAATTCAAACCACAACATTCAAAATATCCTTAATGGCTGACGGTGAAATTATTATTTTCTTAAATTTCATTCACAACTCTATCAATCAGGCCGTCTCATGCCAAAGACTCGGAAGAGTCAAAAAACAAAAAACAAACAAACAAACAAACAAAAAAAAAACCCATAAAATCTGCCTCCCCGACAAGATTAATCAGAAAATGGTTTTCATCCGAAAGAGTTTATGTAATTCTATCAAATAGATAAACGAAATAAGTTACTTACATGATTCATTTTCTCAAGAATATTATGAAAATAATTAGATTTTGACACTCGCATTATTAAGATATTGCCTATAATTCTCTCGTGACAAAAGGGAATTTTGCTTTATAAAGATGAGGAATAGTGCGCGGATTTAGTCGATAAAAAGTAAAATAATCTATTTAGTTGAAAAAAAAAATCATTTACAGCTGAAGATGAAAGATAACAAAGAATACTTCTCAAAAGTGGTCAGAGTTTTCATCAGCGCCAAAATAAAAATAATTTTTCAATCTCGATTGTAACTCTCTGTCTGTCCCAATGTTCTCTATCAATTATATTAAGATATTTTTAAGTAAATGCTCTGTTTATAATAAACAGTATTAATAACATTTACCGTCCTGAATCTCCGAGAAATTTTCATAGAAAGATGCGTCCTCTCACAGGAATCGAACCTGTATCCTATACTGAACCGTCATATAGCCTGACGTGCTGTACCGAATTAGCCACAGAAGAGCGTTTCGATTAGCAAGGTCGATTTTGGAGAATTGTAGTTTAAAAACAGTAAAATCGACTTTGCTAACCGGAACGCTCCTCTGTGGCGAAATCGGTAAACGCAGGTCAAGCTAAATGACGGTTCTGTATAGGTTACAGGTTCGATTCCTGTCAGAGGACGCATATTTACTATGCAAATCTCTCGGACATTCAAGCCGGCAAATGATATTTATTATAAACAGAGTATTTACTTAATTATTTGCATCTATAAAAAGAACGTATAAACATAAAAATGTCTTAATAAGTGTGTATATATATATATATATATATATATATATATATATATATATATTCGTTCGTACACAGTCAGACTTTCGCTGTTACACAGCTCATTAGTGTGGTTAGACATCCGATTGTCCCAAGCCGGGATCGAAACCCGACTGACTTGGTATGGGTCGGAAAATCTACACTTAGCCCATCGACGCACGGCAGAAGTTGTATTTAAACGTATTTCTTTTTAGATAAACACGCCAGTGACTGGGAGAAATCGATTCGTTTTATCGAAGAGTCTTGCATTACCAACAGTAATAGTCACTGTTTACAAACTTCTGAATATCTGAAGGCATAAAAGACATTTGCCATAAATTCTCTCACCGACCATGTTCCTATGACTGCTTCAAAGACAATTGCAACACTGATTTTTGAAACAGTTTCGAAGAATCTTTTTCCTTTGCCAGATTTCAAAAGATTTGCTGGTCTCTTAGCAACCACCCACGGCACATCTTTCTGCACAGTTCTTTCAATTAGCTCATTGCAATAATTCGTGCAGTATTTGGAAATTAAAAAAAAAAACTACATATCCTCCATTGTTTTTTACCAATTGTTTTTCATCGTTCTCTACGCTTGTTGATGCCATTTACACAAAGCCTCGTGTTAATGTTGGAAGAAGATCATGAGAAAGGTTTCAAATAGAGAATCATTTTTTTATCATTTAAATCGTTCTACAGATATCGGAACAAATGTAAATTCGAAGAAGCCAAGTCAGCATATTAGCTGGAGGGTTTCCCATTTCATCTCTTTAAGATTTTGCAAGACCTGTTTCGCAACATCCATTCTTGCGTTGTTGTGATTAAATAACTGCATTGAGATTGGTGAATGGGTCGCCAGACTTCTTTTCAATTACTGTTTTGCCAACTAGAAGAAGACCAAAGTGAATTATCCCTCTGTGGTTATTGGCTCCCGTTCGATGGCGTTCCATCGGAGGATTGGCGCGATTGCGTCTCGATTAAGGGACGAGCCTCACGAAACGGGGTGGATCTTGCAGTGTGTCTCACTGGCGATTATTCGAGGTAATTCTTTCTCCATTATTACGGCTGGCAGAGGATAGAAAAAAATTGTTTATAGTTACATTTTTGTATTGATTCGTACCTTATACTTATAAGCTTCAGGCTGAAGGAAGAAAAATGAGGAAGACGAAAAAGGAGAAAGACGAAAAAAAGAGAAAGGCGAAATAAAATTCCACTGAAAGGAAAGAATCACCTTCGTTGAATGCGAGGCAGCATTAGCCACGAGTTCTGCATATTCCTGAATTTTTCCAATTTCATTTGAGCCGAACATTGTCATAAACGATTCATTTTTCATCGCCTATGACGATTCTGTCCCAAAACGGCTCCTATGCGTGGCGTAACAGCAAAGAAATCACGACAGAAAGATCTTGTTCTGTTCCGTCCTAGAATGTGGCACCCACGTGTCGAGTTTGTAAATCAATCCAAGTCTCTTCAAATGACGAAAGGTATTAATATCGATTTTAAAACTCTTAACAATCTCCTCCGGAAATATCTTCCGTTTATTTTCCACGGTGACAAGTCTTTATCGATGTCGAAAGGTCACCTGTGGCGTTGTTGATTGTTTAGTTTAAAATCACCCTGACGAAATCTACTACACCCCACTTATTGACCATCCCAAGAGCAGGAGCACGAACCTTCAGAATGTTTTTGTTTTTTGTTTTTTCATAGTGATTAATAGAAAGTGCATCTTTCATGTTTAAGGCTTTCCTTTTTGAACAAGACAATAACATTCAATAAAGTCTGACTCACAACTAAATGATGCAATGTTTCAATCTCAAACACACCAGAAATCGGCATTAAAACAAACGCCAGTCTCAAATTGCTTCCATTTTATATTAGCAAGAGAAATCGGGCACGAACTTTTGCAACTAAAGGTACCCTGTAGCTTGCGATCTTGCCTATCGTGCGTCACTCAAGATATCACTGATAAAACAAGATTTTATGATGTACCTCGTGTATCATGCTGGTTCTTTTTTCAGAGACCAGGTTACAATAGTCTCTTTATCCCATCTTTTATTTAAAAAAGTAAAAGAGAATAATAAAAGTACCTTTAGTAACACTATACTCGTTGTGTGAACGCGTACAGCCATAAACAACGAAAGGGGAAACAGCTAAACATCTTACAAAAATGTAAACCATGGAAAAGATTAATGTTTGCTATGTTTGTATTTTATAACACGATACAAATATGTGACGATTACATCCATTATCATTGGATACCGTTAAGTAAAACATCAGTTTTATGAAAATTATGTTTATTTAAAATACAGCTGTACTTTTTGACTACTGTAAATGGACATATAGTTTGGTCAACGGCGTAGCCAGGGCCAAAAGTACAGACACTAATTTTATATCTCATGTATGATGCGAGCCTCTTAAAATTAGCTTCAAAATTAGGTCTTCAAAAGTCACATGATACGCGAGTTTATACAATAGATAGATAATGAACAGAGATTGATAATGAACATAGATAGATAGATAGATAGATAGATAGATAGATAGATAGATAGATAGATAGATAATTTGGTCAACGGCCTAGCCATGACCGGCAATCCACGTGCTAATTTTATATCTTGCGTATGATGCGACCCTCTTAAAATTAGCTTCAACATTAGATCTTCAAAAATCTCATGATACGCATCTATATACGGTAAATATTACTACTACACTTTGATCGGTAGGGGTGAGTGTAGTGTAGCGGCTATCGGTTCGAGAAAGTTTTTACACAAATCTTCGCCTATGTGCCGTGTCTATCCAGGATTTAGGTGACTATGGGTCTCCACAACTTCTTGTCATTTGTAAGGTTTATTACCTTTTTGCTAACTCTCCTAATCCCTGTCCTGCCAACCATTCACACAAGTTTGTTATTATGTTATTTTCAGCTTTCCTCTGTCCCACTTGTCGTTAACATGTCCTGTGAATGTTAAATTTTCCAAGCCCTCTTTTCTTCATTATCAATTATGAGACTGATGACAATGGTGATGATGATTACACATTATGCATTATAATTGGATACAGTTAATAAAGCATAAGTTTTATCAAAATTATGTTTATTTTAAATATAGCTGTACTTTTGACTACAATAAACGGATATATAGCTGGATCAATGGCGTAGCCAGGGCCAGTAGTACATACGTTTATTATATATTTGGTGTATGATGTAACCGCCTTCAAATTAGCTTCAAATATATATATATATATATATATATATATATATATATATATATATATATATATATATATATATATATATATATATATATATATATATATATATATATATATATTGTCATTCATATAAATATAGGTAAGTATACTCGTCCGGAAAAACCTTAGGTGTATTGGCTTGTTGTTGAGTTTCATTATTTTTTTTTTTTGGGGGGTCACATGGTCATGTTTTTTATGTTGTAGGCTATTTATATTCTGTTCTTTGTTACCTCGTTGGCCAGCGTACCCTGACGATCCGCGTAGGTGAAACCTAGCTAGGTTTGCCTGGCTCTTTAGGTTCATAGTTTATATATATATATATATATATATATATATATATATATATATATATATATATATAATCATTTATCCCAATCAATGCG